TGAAAGAACACTTTTGCAAAGGAAACAATGTTTCAAAACCTGAGGAACAATTTACTGTATATTGAAAACAATATTATAGGCATTATTTTTTACAATGCCATAATACTTTAAAATTTCAACATTCATATTTACTGAGACTATATTCAGTCACTGTAAGGGCTAACTTATGACATCATATATCACAAAAGTTACTTAAGAAGGAAACTGCAGCTCTTGAAGTACATTTTAAAGATGACAGAAGCCTCATATTCATTCATCACTGGAAAAAGATGTAACCTGAACCAAGAGCAAAACCTCATAAAAAATATAATTCAAGAAAATAGACTGCAGATTTAACCGTGTAAAATCAAGAAATAATTTTTTCAGACCTGGAATCTTTCAATTTGATTTTAGAAAGAATCTGCTTGAATCAAGAGCCTATTTTTTATGTTTTAGGAGGCTGCACTTGAGTGCTGACTGAATGATCCACAGGACTTTTTTTCAGGGATAGAATGTGGTCCTCTATTAATGTTTAGTAATATATGTATGTGATTCCTACTGAGCATGGGATAATGTGATGAGATTTCACTTGAGTGTCCTGATCTCCAACTTCCTCGAATGAAACTTTGCTGAAGATAATTAAAAATATGTATCTAAAGAAAAGAAGACCCATCAGTCTCATTACATGATAATACTTAATAATAGGTACTAAGAAAAACCTGGGTCCAGTTATGAGATGAAAGAGGGACAAATAAAACAGGTCTCGAAAGTTTTAAATCTGTTGATGAGAAATGACGACTCAAATGAGTAAAGCAAAAAAAGAAGGGGGAAAAACCGTGAATACATTTGTTGACTGATGAGTCTTCAGAGAAACAAATGAAAATGAAGAAATCTGAAAATTATAATGAAAAAATGAGCAAGTTTTTACACTGTAAAAAAGAAGTACATAAATTATTCTCGAACAAGATAAAAAAAGAACTAAAAATATTAAGTTAACTTCTACCGCTCATGAACATTTTGATGTGTCAGAACTCGTGAAAATTCACAAGAAAGTTAGGCAAAAATATTGGTTTGTTGCTTTCAACCATTCATGATCGACTTACATTAAATTAACTTGACATAAATTGAAAGTATTAAACAAAAGAGAACATAAAAAATAATAAAGGAGGAAAAATCTAAAATGTTTCTGAATCACTATGAGGAGGAAAAATTGAAATGAAAAAAATGTACAATAAGTAAACTGTGAAAATAATTGAAAAATACAGGAGCTAAAAATGTAGAGATGGAAGGAAATATTTTTAAAAAGGCCCTGACACAAGGCGTGGGGCGAATCTACAACATTCAACATCACGGGAAACATCCGATATAATTCTAGTTCCCATTATTTTTATTTTATTTTTGAAAAGACTTGGATTTGCACTACCTCTACAATCTAATTTGAAAGACCCGGAACGAAATTGGAAATGTCTAAACACACAAAAAAAAAAGAAAAAGAAAATATGATTAGGGCACAAAAACTTCATTGAATCACACCAACATTCAAGCAATATTTACAGATTTGTTTTCGCAATTCGAAATTTTTCATTTAGTTTCAGGCCACCAAAATTAGATTTCTAAGATAACGCAGTTCCATTTTTTTTCCAAAAGAAGGTAGAAATAATGCAAACTAGTGTTATATTGATTACTGCTTGCAATATGTCCATGGCTTGCGCCCTGGGTGGCATGGATTCTCCTTAACTTATTATGTAGTTCCCTGAAATGTGAGTTGAAAGTGATACGTAAATATTACATAATTTTCAAGTAAATTAGAGAAAAAAATGTAATGAGTGAATTAAATGCAAGATTTTAGATAATTGATGAAAATAATGGGTCAGTTCCTCACAATCATTATGATATGACCATTTGTAGTGAGAGAGTTCCCATATCTTTAATAGTATGTGTTAGTTTCAACATTATTCCTGGCACAATCAAATCATGCCTTCTTTGAATTGTCATGATGAGAAATAGTGCTAAATGTGAATGCATAGTTAATAGTCATAATATTTTAAATCATATAACAAAAAGGATGCTGATGGATATGCTGCAGGCAATTAGTCAAATCAGGCATTTTATCAAATGCCTGGGCAGATTGTAAAATGTTCACAGTTTGAAAATTTTTGAAAATTTATGGCAAAGAGCTATCGAGTTTTCAATATTTTGGGAAAAATAACTCAACAAATATACGAACTCTTCCTGTTCCTTCCTTTTTAAATGCCTCTCATATATTTAAATGTTAAAATTTTAAAAACTCTGTATTTTATGAAATGCTGTTCACTTTGAGATAAGGGTCATTCCATTGTAACGGGTGTGACAACAATTTAACTTTAAACAAGAATTTGAACTCTTTCTTGGGGTTTAATTAAAAAATTATCTGCAGTAGCAGAAAGAACTTTTTTTATAGATCATTTTAGTTTATCAGAAATTGTTTGTACTTTGTTCCATTCCTCAGGAAAAAATTAAAAGGCTGCGTAACGGGCGTGACCGATTTTGGAAGTGAGTTTTTCCTCAGTGAGTGTAAAGTGGAAACTCAGCGAATTTTATGAATTTAAAAATCTAATTAAATTACATGAAGAAGCCAAGGGTTTTTGCTTCATCTGCCGATGATCCGTTTTCGATTATCTTTTTTTCTTTCCTTGAAAAATGGGAGAGTTTGCGTGACGGGTGTGACGTAACGGGTGTGACAGATTGTCTCTCTGAGGTCCATCATTTCTGAGAGAGTTTAAAAGTTAAAAAACTTACTTTTCTTTTCATACTCTTATTGCAGGCAATCCTAAGCAGTAAATCAATCAGCAATTTGACGCATTTTAATGTAGAACATGCCAAAACTACATTTTACTACAAGGTGGCCCAGACCTACCGTTTGCATTACGGGTGTGACGTAACGGGTGTGACAGATTGTCTCTCTGAGGTCCATCATTTCTGAGAGAGTTTAAAAGTTAAAAAACTTACTTGTCTTTTCATACTCTTATTGTAGGCAATCCTAAGCAGTAAATCAATCAGCAATTTGACGCATTTTAATGTAGAACATGCCAAAACTACATTTTTCTACAGGGTGGCCCAGACCTACCGTCCCAGGGCTTTTCTTCGGGTAGCCCAGGATTCCCCTTTCGTCCCCGCGGTCCTGGACCTCGCATGATCCAAATTAACCAAAAAAAAATCCTGGTACGGTAGGTCTAGGCCTATAGTAAAGTGAAAATATTTCAATCCAATCGGAGAGAGTTCAACGAGTTCTATTTGAAGTCCTTTTGAGATAGGCGTATTCACTTTAAATACTGAAATATGGCAAAAAAGTTGGCTATCTCTCTCTTATTAGATGTATACATACCTCTAATTGTGCATATGAGTGTATTTCTTGTGATAACCATAGAAAAAATGGTGAGAAGTGAGGCAACATCTGCATAATTGAATCCTCTTCTCATTGGTCACACCCGTAACGTGTCACACCCGTTACGCAGTTTTGCCTATCAATTGTTGAAATAAAAATTTGGAAAAAATACTCCAAAGCTGTACTTGACTTGAAGACGTACGGAAAAAATTAGCATCTCAAAATAACATGAATTAAAATAGTTACATTAAAAAACCCATGTTTTGCGTAACGGGTGTGACAGTCAGTACACTAAGTTTCAAAAGTTACATATAATACACAGTAATTACTTTTAAAAATTGAAACTTTGCAGGAGCACATTGAATCAGTTTCTTGACAACTGCAAACATAAACTGAAACTTGGATTTGGCGGGAACACCAGAAAATATTGCTACCAAACTGTCACTCTTTTTACAGTAGGATGAAGCTAACCAATGGGGTTACAAAACACGTGAAAATTGCGAGAAAAAAAACAAAACGGATGTAAACCCCATATATTTCCAAAAACTAGGAGTATTAAGGAGTCCAAAAATATTGTTGGGTCATTTGGAGGGGGGAAAAAAAATACCCCCCGGACTACCTAGGCGTGGAATGACCCATNACATTTATACACCGGCTACGTAAATCTGCTAAGTTACAAAACATGAATCGACAGTTGTCGGATTGTACATCAATGACAAAATGTGTCTAGGCCCTCATTCTTGACTACAACTACTGCCCCCAGAGCCGCTCTCCGACGCCAATGCGTTGGAGCTTCCTGCTTGTTTTTATTTTATTTTTGAAAAGACTTGGATTTGCACTACCTCTAAAATCTAATTTGAAAGACCCGGAACGAAATTGGAAATGTCTAAACACACAAAAAAAAAAGAAAAAGAAAATATGACTAGGGCGTAAAAACTTCATTGAATCACACCAGCATTCAAGCAATATTTACAGATTTGTTTTCGCAATTAGAAATTTTTCATTTAGTTTCAGGCCACCAAAATTAGATTTCTAAGATAACGCAGTTCCATTTTTTTTTTCCAAAAGAAGGTAGAAATAATGCAAACTAGTGTTATATTGATTACTGCTTGCTCTATGTCCATGGCTTGCGCCCTGGGTGGCATGGATTCTCCTTAACTTATTATGTAGTTCCCTGAAATGTGAGTTGAAAGTGATACGTAAATATTACATAATTTTCAAGTAAATTAGAGAAAAAAATGTAATGAGTGAATTAAAAGCAGGATTTTAGATAATTGATGAAAATAATGGGTCAGTTCCTCACAATCATTATGATATGACCATCTGTAGTGAGAGAGTTCCCATATCTTTAATAGTATGTGTTAGTTTCAGCATTATTCCTGGCACAATCAAATCGTGCCTTCTTTGAATTGTCATGATGAGAAATAGTGCTAAATGTGAATGCATAGTTAATAGTCATAATATTTTAAATCATATAACAAATTTAAGAATGCTGATGGATATGCTGCAGGCAATTAGTCAAATCAGGCATTTTATCAAATGCCTGGGCAGATTGTAAAATGTTCACAGTTTGCAAATTTTTGAAAATTTATGGCAAAGAGCTATCGAGTTTTCAATATTTTGGGAAAAATAACTCAACAAACATACGAAATCTTTCTGTTCCTTTCTTTTTAAATGCCTCTCATATATTTAAATGTTAAAATTTTAAAAACTCTGTATTTTATGAAATGCTGATCACTTTGAGATAAGTGTTCATTCAGGAGCTAAAAATCATTTAAAATATTATTGCATGATTCATATTTTTACAGAGAATTCTTTTTTACTGGAGCAATTCATTATTTTGCCTAAATTAAGGAAAATAATCAGAATCTCATTCTACGTGAGAATATTTGACTATTTGCCTCGGCATTTGACAAAATGCCTGATTTGACTATTTGCCTGCAACAGATACATGGATGAAAAAAAAAGATTAGAGATTCAAACAGCATAATTGTCATCAATAACGTCATAACCTCGGTCCTCTTTGAAGCCATCTGCATTCAGCTTTGGCATCTTTCTCTTTATCATCAATGTCCATGTTTCTGTGATTATCATCCGATATTGGTGGTGTCGATTCTTCATCAGATTTGGACTCCGACTGTAGAGGCAATTTCATCTGAACCCTGAAAACAAAGGAAATAGCACACTGAGCGTATATAAATTGGATTTCGGATCATACATTTCTGGAGAAATTTCTTGCTACAATAATGAGCAGAAAGAAGCACATATTTTTCTCTAGAACATTTGAAAAAAGAAGTTCCGGAATGCCTTAAAGTAATTGAGTAAGTCTGCTGAATTTTTATAGACGTATTTTCATAGTTAAAAAAAAAGATGAGGTCACATTTTGAAGATTTGTTAACCTCTTGAAGTACGCCGGTACAAAATGGCGTCAATATTCCAGCAAATTCCGAAATTCAAAGTATGAAAAACAGACTATAACATCCGTTTATTTCCTTAGATTAACTCAAAATATAACTTCAATCTTCTGATATAGAATGACCTTTATCCATGAACAACGTCATTTCCAAGAAAATTGATGATAAAAACCATCCCAACCGACCTACGTCACTGACAAATCCAAGATGCCTGAGATGCTACCATCTCCTTTTTTCCCCCTGTGATTTATTGTACTTTGGTATCTGAAAACTCATTTTTCGAATGGCTATCTTCGCAATGAAGGGAGGACAACTCCAAAATGTTAAACGGAGGCCCCTTCACCCTCAGGTGTTAAACAGGTTGGTAAAAGGATGAAAGAAACAACTTTAAACGGGACTAAGGCCGCAAATAATAAAAAGAAACACATAAAATAAAATAAAAAAACCCGGAATGTTTCGCAGGGATCACACCCGCATTTTCAACCGGCAAAACAAGAAAATTAAAAGAAGGACACTATGAGCCTCACTGTTGTTATTGTGAGACTGTGAGAATAACTGTGAGAGTAACTGAGAATAACTGAATAATTAGTCCTGTTTTAAGTTGTTTCTTTGTGAAAAATTCGGGTTGATTAAGTTGTTTTTTCTAAAAGGATGAAGAAGAAAATGCCGGGCTTAAATGATAGGTGACCATTATAATTTGTTTGCTGTGGCTGCTAGTCAAAGTTTTGAAAGTCAGCTCTAACCAGCTGTCATCTCAACTCAAAGGAAAATAGTAACTTACAACTTGCATCCGATGCCTTTTTATTTCTCTTATTGTATTGTTTGATGGAGGTTTAATAGAAAAAAATCTCTCCGTTTCCCCTTAACTTTTGCTGTAACTATATTTTTAATTTTTTCCAAATAAAAACCACCATCGAACAATACAATCTTGGCGGAAAGATAAAAAAGGACTCATGGTGGAAGTTGCGGATTGCTATTTTGATTTGTGCTAAAGTGATGGCCGGATAAAATTGACTCTAAAAATCTTGGAAATAATGAAAATGGCAAAAGGCAACTATCACCAAAAAATTGATGGATATGTGTTCACACTGCACTTGCAAGCATCCCTCCCATATTCACTGCATTATTGGAATTGGTCTTTTAAAAAAAATTATGTACTTGGATTGAACTTACGGCTTAAGATCTACAGAAACCTTGTGTGCCTCATGTGTGCTGAGAGAAGCATTGGTGGAAATGGAGATATCACTGTAATAACTTTCTTCTACAACAGCATCTGAAAGAAAAGAAGGTAGATTTTATTATTTCACAAAAACTTGTTGAGACCTAAAAACAGTCAAAATTGTGAGAAATACAAAGGAGACTTGACTTGGTCTCTAAATTGGCCAAAATGGTAGGTGACCTATCTACATGAATCTACCTGTTTACTTTGTATACAGCTGATTTATTAAATGTATCGCTGTTGGTCTTGCCACTAATTTGCAACATGTTACCAATATTGCTAGTTGTCCTAAAAGCCAGTGAATAACTGTAAGTTCTAAAAATTTTACCTATGATATTGCTGGATCTATTGAAATAATTTGACTGTACGTATTCTGTGTTCTTACTTTAGCTATTTACATGATTGCTTGGTGGAGTGTTACTAGAGGGATTTTTTTTACTCTTGTGAAATTCCTTAATTACATTATTAACCCTGTATTTTGGATATATATTTGTGGAACAGATACAGTAGATAATACCTAATTCATTGTTATTATCCTCTTCATACATAGGTACATTGAATGCTCGATACATCATTGAGCGGATGGTAGCAAGTTTTCGGCTGCGAGGGTGATTCAAATTGAAGGGGATAATACTATCAGTATATGTTGGTTTTCTGAAAATTTTCACCATCAACTTGCTTCCCTTTACAAAATTCGTTAAATCTTAAAAATTAATGCAATGGACCTCTAGACAAGGTTTGAATTCAAGCACAAGGCTTCGTGCTTTCTCTTTGAAATTCTACATGGAGAATGAATCACACAACAGGAAGTTTGAGAATCAATTTCTGAACAAGATGTGTTTTATATTAAAAGTCTAGTCCCCTCAAAAATGAAAAAAAAGTCGTCTACATATCGACAACACTTGGAAATTTTTATATAATATGATTTGTTTTCAGGGTTCATCATGTATAAATCTAAGAGCCAGTTCAGATAGATTTCTTATAGGGTTGCAGAGAGAGGGGCTCTCATTGCTAAGCCCTTTCTTACAGAACAAAATTCACCATTGTAAATAAAATAGTTCTGCTTTAGAATAGCGTAGACTTTTTGTAAAATTTTGTTAATTTTCTTGTTACTAAGTTTTTTACTATCAGTTAATTTTTGTCGGTTAATCATGTCTACAATATCTAAAGAGAATAATTGCTGTTTATCACCCATCTTAGGAGTAACAATATCTTTAGAAAATTGTACAGTATTGATAGCTGCAAACTTTTTTCTCAGATTAACAGTATTTTTGATGATTTTATAAAAAAATTTAGCAACCTTGTAAGTAGGACAATCGGGTCAGTTAGAGGCAAAAGCAACATACTTAAGTTTCAATTTTTGCTCATCACTTACAATTTTTGAGCAATTGTTTATTAAATAGTAAGTAACTGTTGATTCCATTGCTAAAATCTTCCGTTGCATCCTATTATAATTTAAGTACAATCGGAATAATGATCTAGTCATCAACTTTGCATTCTAATACAGTGCATTTTACAATGGCTACAGAAGCGTGGCGTGCTTTGCGATATATCGATTGTTATGCCATTTAAACCTATTGTGAAGAATCGATTATTAACACCCTGTTTATTGATCATTTTCCATAGGTTTAAATGGCATAACAATTGATATATCGCAAAGCACGCCATGCCACTGCTACAGATTCATCTTATTAACATTTACTAAAGTTAAATAGTCTGCTTCTCATTTACTGCTGATATTTTTTATAAATTCCTGGCTTGTTTGCGGATTGAGTTTTGCGGCAGATCTGATCCAGGTTAAGGCAAAATACATCATGCCACCTTGGCCAAGCGATGGAATTACAATTTTTTTATTCATAATAGGGTTTTCAGAAACAAAAAAGAAGGGATAAAATGAATGATTTCCTACAAGATTCTTTCTGGTAGTCGTAAAAACTTAGATATTGTGACATACAGAACCATTGAAAAAATCTTGTCTTATTTCTAGAAATCTCAAACATTTTTAGTAAAAATTATTTCTGCAACATACCCATGTTTCCCAGCCTACTGCTACTAGTAGACAACTTTGTGAACTATTGAATTAGTGTGAAATACAAATTTATTTTTAACCACCACGAAAGATTAAGTCTATGTATACTGGAGCTGAAAGGAATAGAAAATGACCAAAGACAATGAAGGAATGGAATCTGACTTTGAATCATTGACAAATACTCACAGTTACACAAACTCCTATACTGGGTGTGTGCGAAGCGTTGTTGCAATTGTTCTTGGCCAAAAGCCAGCACAAAAAGTCCATACTCTGATCGCAAAAGAGACCCTGTTCGGAATGATAAGGTGATTCAAATTTCTCCACAGTCTTTCAAAACTATAATGAATTGAATGGGGACAGATTAATACTTTGAGAATTTTTTTACAAATCTACACAGAAAAAGTGGCCTCCAACAGAGACGCAAGATGGTCAATCGGCTAACTTTTTTCTGTCCCACCTCAGCCAAATTAGGGCAGCAACATACTCTAAATTAAGACTCAGCCTAAGCCTTCAGAAATGTTAAAGCCTACTGGCAGGTGTCGGATGTAAAAAAATTACATAATACCGATTAACCTACCCATCTTGTGTCTCTGACCTAAACTTCTTTTTCCCTGTATAGCTACCTTACAACACATTCAAGGCTAGACATTGAAACCAAATACCACAGTTTGCAATATTGCAGCCTTCCAGTCTTGCTTAAGTTTTTTCGAGAAAATTAATTGAAACAACTTCTAGGGTATTTCCAATTTTTTTTCTCTGAATGAGGAATATTCTGTAAAATTTCAAGCATGAGAGATGGTTTGCTTCCTTCAGAAATGTTAAGCCACCAAAATCTCAAAACCCCAATTCAATTATCTGCACATATATATTTAAAAACAAGAAATTTATGAAGTACATGTATCAGCATATCGCCGTTACAAGTTGACCGCGTTAAATCATTAGATTACTCCGGCAAGATTTTAATATAAAAAGTTCCTGTCAAATTTTGGTCTGAATTATACAGGCAATGACAGCAATGACTGTGAGAGCCTTTCTGACCAAACAGCTCATAGCGAAAACAGCAGGTTTCAAAAAATCGCATTTAAAGTTTTCATTCATGCTCAGGTTCCAGTGTGTTGTCGGAACTAAACCAAAAATGGTTTATTTATATAAATTAGATCCCTGTGGACTGAAATCCATCCAAAACAAAAGTATAAAATGTCAAATCTGGTCTGCAATCATTAATTTTTGAAGTTACATTATAAGCTGTTTGCTCAGAAATAGGGTGTTTTTGAGGAGAAAGTTTAAATACGAGGGTCATCCAAAAAGTAAGATTCCCTACCTTGTATCATTCGAATGAAGAAAGATAAATCAAATTGGTAAAGAAGATCTTATCAGGCATACTTTAAGCTTTAAAAGAAGCTCAAGTTTTTGAGAATCGGTCAAGGGGTTTTCGAGGAAACTCACTTTCACTGCGACAACCTGTCGCCGCGAGCCCATCTCTGGAGTCAGGATTTGCAGAGAGTCGATTATTTCAGACTCCGGTTATCGTCGCTGAGCATCATATCAAAAAGGAAATTAACAGTATTTAGTGAGTAAATCTTACCTCACTTTTTGACATAGTCTCCACCTCTGTTTTGACATTTCTGGTATCAATATTGTAGCTCCTTGATGCCTTCCACGTAGAGGCTCTTGCCTTGGCACCGAAACCAGTCATTGACAGTGCTCCGCACTTCCGCATCGGTTGCTTTGCATACTACAATTTTCCCTCATCCTCTATACTCTCTCGATTTAGCTTCATGTGACTTTCATCTGTTCTCTGAGCTGAAAGAATTCCTCGGTGGAGAGCAGTTTCCGACTGATTTGGAAGTGCAGAGCGCTGTTAATGACTGGTTTCAGTGCAAAGACAAGAGTCTCTACGCTGAGGGCATCAAGAAGCTGCAATATTGATACCAGCTTAGAGTATGCTTGATTTCTTTACTGATTTGATTTATCTTTTTTCGTTCGGATGATACAAGGTAGGGAACCTTACTTTTTGATTGACCCTTGTAAATGCAATATGAATTAATGTAAATTTATGTTTTAATAATAACAAGGAAAACAAACTCCTCTGGCTCCAGAGTTGTTAGATAAACGGAAAACATTGCAGTAAAATTGGGGTTTTCTCCAAGGAGTTCATTTATGGGTGTTTCACCACCTTCCTTCCCTTGAAAATGATTTCTGTGAGAGGAAGCACAGAAAAACATGAACTGCTCAATTTAGACCTTGATATGATACAATGTAAACAGAATATTGGAGCAAAGGCATAAAATGCGTATAAGCTGTTTGCTCAGAAGTGCACTGAAAGGTATAATATAAACCAAAAAAGGGGGCACCAAAAAAGTCATATCTGCTGATCTTTTGCAGCTATCGACATGAGATTCAAGTGGTGCCTTAATCAAAGAGTGAGTTATCTTCATCGCAAATATCCGAGCAAACAGCTTATATGCGTATAAGCTGTTTGGTCGGAAAGGTCCTCATATTCTTTAAGGATTGTCTTTGCTAAGACTGAATGGTTGGCAAAAATTGATACTTGAATAAATGAATTTCTCTTCAATGATTGATCAACTTCACTCGTTTTTCTTTAAAAAAAAAAAAATAAATAAATAAAAAATTGTTGAAGTTCTGATATCTATTTTTCATTAATACTTATCATCTCTGACTGTAATAATTTGAGGCCATTGAAAATTCATCGTCATCTAATATTTCTGGTTAGAGTTAATATGTAATTACCTAACGACCTACGTACAAAAATACAATATGAAAATAAAAAAAGCTAAAATGAAGAAGCACCTGGATGTATCTGAGATTTTAATTCTGTTGGTCCAGTTTTCTGGCTTGTAAGCAGCTCTTGAGAATGTTTAAGCTGTTGAAGTATCTATCTGATGGCGCTGTGGAAAGAAAAAGAAAATATCATTGATGAATGGAAAGGAAATTCTAAAAAAGTGATTCTACTTGGATTTTACTTTCCATCAAATTTTTTTTTATCTCAGAAGATCACAACTGATCATGCATGTCAGTCAGCTTCTAGAAATAATTTATTATCTACACTATTATAGCTGTAGTATTTCCAAAGAACCCTGCACATAAAACCATGGGATTCGGTGTCGGCCAAATTTTGTAATTATTTGATATGATGCTCTTTACGACCTACTGAGTACAATACGCTTCAAAAATCAAACTTTCTACGCAGTTATTTTGAGTAAAAAGGAGTTAAATAATGAATCTTTCAGCATTTCTCAATGCCTTAGCTAGTAAAAACATTGCAACTCCAAACTATTGATCAAGAAGAGCTCTGCTTTCCTTGCTAGGTGTAAAGATGAGATAGAAAGAAGGAAACGAATTCCTTTTCATGATAATAGAGCCTGTCATATCAACTGCTTCAAGACAACCGTTCTGCTGATCTGACAAAGCAACAGTGCGACACCTCCATGAGAAAATGCATAGGGAGGAACAGGCGTAAGGAGAAACATCTGCTAGAAGGAACCAGGGTTTGATGTCTTCCCTGAATATAGAATTGAGACTAAAAAAGATTTTTTTTCAAAAACAGTGCATTTACTCTACGGATAAATTCAGAGCCGAAAAGTTTTCTCAGTTCTTCAGATGAATTTAGAAAATTATTTTGATGGATAATTTTCAAACACCATAATTGAATGCTAAAATAATACAAAAAAACTTGTCAGAGTAAGAAATTGAGTGAAGCCATAAAACCACCAAAATCATGCCAACAACATAATTGGGCGCAAAAATATTGTCAATATGAGCAATTGAATCCATCCTTGAGACCACATTCGTGCTATCACTCGGTAAAGTAAGTTCTTAAATAACGGCACCAAGCGAAAGACACAAAGTATAATTTTCATTTGAAGTTTAAAACTACATTAAAGTTACTACTGGACGTAATGTTAAAACGAATATTTTAAAGAAGAAATAATATGGAAAAGAATGGAAAAATTAGGAGGATTAAGGGAAAATAATCAAGGCAAGAGCTTGAAATTTGTTCTAAGTTCTGCAGACTCAAGCAGTTGCTTTCCAATGTCCTTTAATTTTTCCTTTTTTTCTTTTTGCTGTGTTTCTAAAACTGTTTGGTTTGGTGCTAAGTAGCATGTCATTCTTCTGTTCAGCTTCGGGGGCAATTAGATCAACACTCTTGAACAAGCCATCTATTCCCTGACTCAAAGATTTTGTTCTGTCTTTCAACAAATTTTTTTGTTGGAAAAATTGTGACTTTTCGGCTAGTTCTGTCATTTTCTTCTTTTTCTCCTTTGCATCGGTAAAGTCATTTTTAAACCTGTTCGCAGCACTACAGCCATTTTGTCTAAGAGCGTTAGTGATGATGAGCATAGAAATACTTGAAGGTCCAATATGTTGAAGATAAAGATGGATTAGTCTTGGCGCAACAAACGATTCTTTTTTCAGATTTTCACTTTCAATTTTTCTGTTAATACTAAATTCCCTTTCAACAGAGGCTTCCCCATGACTGCGCAAAAGAAGTTCTTTAACTACTTTCTATAAATTCAAGAAGGATTCCTTTTTGATAGTTTTACAATAATATTAATCAACTGTGATTGGGTCAAAATCCACGAACTGTTGTGAATTCCTCATCACCACATCTTGAAAATTTGTGTCAAATTCACTTAAAGCTGTAATACCATTTTGTTCACTCAGCACTTTTTTTTCACAGAGGACAGTGAGACAGAAGGAGATTAGACACAAAATCACCGGATGATGTAAAATTCAAGGACTTTTAAAAAACTTTCAAGTACAATGAGGCAAAATCCCAAAATTCAAGGATATTCAAGGACTTGAAGTTGCGGGAAAAAAATTCAAATATATTCAAGGGCTTTTCAAGGCATCACGAACCATGTAATTGGAATCCACTATTCAATTAATTTAGTGCTTATGCCAAAGATTCCAACTCCCAAGATTCTAAATACTACTCAAGAGAATTGCAAAGTCCTCTAAAGAATCAAAGAGCGAATGCTACCTTAGAAGGGCTATATGGGCCGAACATATTTAAACCGAATAATTCAGTCCAGAGTGAATAACTGTAGGTTAAGTCAGCTATCCTACTGATCATAGACATGAATTACCAACCTTATGATGTTTCTTTCTATAAGAGTGTTAAGAAAAGATTCTCACCTAAGATTAAACACACTGTTGATCTTAACCAGCTAGATTCTGTGTTTAGAGGCTTTTTTCTGGCTATATAATGAATCAAACAGTTTTTCTGATTGGTACTGGAACTTCACTTCTTACTGACAATCCAACTGCAGGGCATCATCACGCACCAAATCACGTATGGGCGTGCGCCCAGCATGGCAGTCAGGGAAGCGAGAACTCTCCTTGACGTCTGAGCCATCACGGCGCTTCCTTCCAAGACGGAACACTCGTGACTTTTACTCGGGATTAGGCTGTACTCATCTGGCATCTGTAAACATTAACACATTAACTTTCACTGATTCTGAAGTGACCCGACAATGTTCATTGCGCAGGAGATGTTTCTTCATGAGGTATGCAGGGGTCCAAAAAGTGCTGGAGCACACTCTTGTGGCGCTCACTTATTTTTTTTGTAAAGGCAGTTGAGGTTGATGAATTTTTTATGACAGCAGTCAATCCCCCCCAATGTATTTTGACGGTCACACAATCCGCGCACTTACTTTTGAGGGAAAAGTTGAAAATTTTTTGCACATTAGTTTTCAATAAGAAAATTGTCAAGGGAATCGGTTTTTGTGAAGAAACTATCAGATGCATTACTTTAAGCACACTGAGTTCTCCAACTTGCCGTCTTTCTTTGTGAAGCAAACTGTTGAGTGTGTTGACTGGAACTGAGCGTTTTAGGGCAGTTTAGGTGAAAGCTTTCTGATTCAGGTGAAAAAAAGTACTTTCTGGATCCCTGGACTACGCATGAGTAGAATTAACATCAAGAAACAGACCTTGAGAGTATGACAAAGTTAGATCAGAATCCTCTTGGGAGGGATTTTGAACTTTACAAAACATTTTGCAGACTGACCCTCCCCCTCTCAGATGCTCAAAAATGCTCTTGTCACTTTAAGAACTGCAGAGGGAAAAAAAGCTAGGAAAATTTTAAAAACCTTAACGGTTGAAAATCATTTCGTAATAATTAAAAATTGTCCATCTGTAAAGATACATCAATTTTTAGATATTCATTTTAATTAATACAAAAACCAATTCAACTGAATTCTCTGCAAGCTTCAGTGAAATTTTTGTAGACCTCAGAGCTGATCTGACTGATCCCAAGGGATATTTAAAAATGCTCAAGTTTTGGAGTCTCACATTCCTGAAACTTTGATGGATAATTGGACAGCATTCAGCAAACCAGTCAAATTTAAATTGAAAGTTCTTAATTAAGACCTACGTGCAATAGTGTAGGACTGGCAACACATGCTAGATAGGAAAGCACACGAAATTAGAAGGAGGCAACTACAGTAGGAGGATCTGGAAACCAGGAGTACTCGCAAAAACCACGCAAGGCTCCATTGGACTCTATAGCCACTTTAATTCCTTCACTATGACCCATTTACTTCATGCCATTCCTGCATGAACACAGTAATAGCAATACAATCACATCTGCGAAAGAAAAGAAAAACGTTCTATGCGCTCAAGGCCTTTTACGTTTCAATTTTAATGGTCTGGCAGGACTTTTTGTATTGAATTATCCCAATTCCTACTTCCGTATGAATAAATGTAACTCTCATTTTTCCGCTCGATAGATAGGCTCTATTATGAAAAGACCCAATGTAGGTATGACTGGTTTGATTACCACTATCCAATTTACATACTCATGACAAAATACAGCTTACCTTCAAGGAATTTCAAATTGAGTAGGGATGTTGCAAAACCTACGAAGTAAAGTGAAACTCGAAATCATCTAAAATTGATGCCAGCTTACGGAGACTAGCACTCAAAAATAAAAAAAGTGTGAATAAGAATTAAATATATCTTCCACCGACGTACTCTCAATTATTATTAATATATTACTTCTCTTCAGAGGAAGGTACATATATGAATTCAGTTCCACATTCCTTTCAATCCTTGAGCAGTGTACTAAAAGTAATATTTACTCTGAATAATTGCAGAATGGACCACTAGACAAGGTATGAATTTCAGCATTCTAATACAGGTTTCTTAGCCAAAATTTCACGTAGAACACGATGCGCACAACAAAAATTACCGAAATCAACTCCTTACGAAGATATTCAATAATTCTTGATGCGTGAATACAAACCACCCACTCATGAAAACTCAATGCTCTACGTGATTCACATCGCGCGCTAAACGTTTATCATGACAGTCTCTGCGATATAAAAATCTGGCAACCTCAATCTTGACACTTTGGCTCAGCTATAGCAAATTGCTTTTAGTTTGAACAACACATGGTGGGAAATGAACATTGCTCGATTGAGAAGATTGCTGAAACCGTTGTAGTGCGCGATTTGGCTCACGTAGAACTTTGAGTTTCTTGTGAGCGGGTAGTTCAAAATCCGCGTAACCAATGTGAAATAAAAAGGTTAATATCTTCGTTAGGAGTCGGTTTCAGTCATTTTCGTTGCGCGAATCGTGTTCTGCGTGAAATTTTGGTTAAGTTACATGTGTCAGAATCCTTTAATTTGTACCTTGTCTAGTGGTCCATTCTTTGGTTAAATAATTAGGAAGTCTCAATTTTAAGTTACAGTGGCAGTTAAGTTCCATTTAATAGTCAAGTAGTCTCTTTGGGGAGCACAAAGTCGAGGAGCTTGATAGAAACTTTGTTGATGCCAGGTTCATCAAAGTCCACATGGCAGATGGCGCAACACATGGTGCTATTTAAATTTCCTTGATCTTTGTTGCTCATGAGTAGATATAAAGTGGGGATTCAGGTATAAAATAGAAAAAACCTACATGAAGACATGCATGCATATTCTTTTCCATTAGTAATACCTAATTCATCATACTTTCTGCAGGTACAGGATAGGAGAAGGCTACAAGCGTCCACTATTAGTGCTTAGGGCTAAAACTATAGCTCCACAATGAAACGAATTAATGGACTGCACCAAGGCACCTAAAAACAATAGTATATTCTGAATCAGACTATACAAGTATGTAACCATAGCTTCAGGGTCAGTGGTGTTCATTTTGTTGAGACATCTCTTAAAGTCAATGAGTAAAAACAATATAATCATAAAGCAAGATTTTGCTGTAATTTCTAAATTTTAAAGTATGATCATTGGGAAATATTGAGATAAAAAAATGTGTACTTACAAGGAAACATGATTTCTTGTGCTCTGAAAGATGCTCTTCAGAATACTTATGCGTGAAACATGTTTTGTGTATATAAAATTCTACCATGACTATGAGTAATTTGAGAACTGACTTGCTTCTCAAACTCAGTGATCCAACAATAGTGAAAATTTTCCTCTGTTTCATCTGAAATAAAGAACAAATTTAATTCATATGGTCTGCGGGCTAAATTTCTAGAATTTTCATGAGGAAAAGTTTGGGTCAAACCTGTTGATTTGATCTGTTCTGAATATTGCAGAGTCTGAAAACTGAAATGAAACAATTACTTTTTTCCTCATCAAGTGTGTCATTAATTTTCAAGGGAAGCCCAATGCATGAAATATATTCTATTTATTTTCTTGGTTTTAATTGACAAAAGACCTGTTATTAATATTATTTTTTTATTGGCATAAATGAGGCAGCGAGTGGGTATCACTACTGTTTTTGACATTAAAAATATAGTTGATTTCAGAAGGTAAATCCGGGCAGTTGAAATCCTTTCATAAGGCCCTTAATTGTTCACTTTTAATTCGCATCGAAGAGGCCCTTCTAAAATCCAGATTGATCCATGTGAGAAGAAAGCAGTACTTTCATTGACGATACTGGCACAGAAGAGGAGACAATTTTGTGTGCAATCTGAATCCCCACAAAAAAAAACTAACTTTTGGTTTAATCAATACACCTTGAGTCCCCTCTCTTGGTAATGTACACTCATGGTGAGGAATTGAATTTGTTTCAATCTTGTATTCAATCTTCTTGTTGAGGGAGCATACTTTCAAGAATTTGGATAACTCTCAATTTAACGCGACCAAAGCACCAAGCCATGATTTGAACAGCTGAGTGGAGATTTTTAATAAAAATTACACGCTGATCAAGCTTATCAAAAGCGTAATTATGAACTAACTAACTAACTAACTCAGCTTATCTTCAAAATCCTTGGCTAATTCTGATATGAAGCCGCTACACCAACTAACTTATTCCCTCCGTAATGAGATATCAGCATTAAGCTGGACTTTCTACACACGATGGCTGAAAAAACTCCATCATTGTCGTACGACCCGTGCGTTTACCGCAATCAGTTTGGGAGAACCAAACTGGGAACTCGGGGTTTGGGGTTGGGAGAACTTATTGTCTGTATTTTTTATTTTAAAAAAATGGTACAATTTCTTTGGACAGTACACTTTCAACACACACAAAAAGGAATTTAGTCTTGTTTTCGTTGGAAAAATCACCTCAAACAAATTTCCTACATGCTTTACAAAAAAGTCGTGTCTGTAGGCACACACCTTCTAAGTAATGATTGCAAAACGTAGTTCTAACACTTTAAGTCACAATTGTTACTTACTTTTTGCAAAAAGAAATATCGATAATTGTGGTGAAGATAAAGCAGTGGTAGATGTGCAGGCAAAAAGCAGGGACTCATTTAGCAACTCAATGGGCGAGGTTGACCTGTTGAAGACAATGAGATGTTTGATGGATGATCCCATTGTGTTAGAATAACCGTTTCACTCACTTTAATTTTGAAAAGCCTGTGACACACCGTAAGGACAAAACTTCAATGGTATGCAAAATAAACACTGAAATGAGAAAAAAGAATTTTGTGAGTATAAAGAATGGATACAGACAATTAGTTTTTCTTCTTCTAAGCTGAGACTTATGTGATGATAGATATGCATTATGTTCATTCAGCTAGAAAAAGGATACTTAAACGAAAAATCAAATGAAAAAAATTGCTTTAATACAATTTGTGCTTATACAATGTGTCTATAAGGTAACTATAATTTAATTAAAATTAGAATTTTCTTTATAATAATTAAACTAAGGAGTGCGCCCCCTGACCATTACTTAGCCGAATTCTTGGAGGGCCCTTTAAATCCCAGTGGGAGCAACCAGAAATAAAAGTGAAATTAAAGATTCTTAAGTAATGTTTTTTACTTTGGCCAATTTTGAAGAAAATCTCAAAATTTCAACAGGGCAAATACTTGCTGAGAATGGACTATCCTTATCCACAGGGTAAAAAAGTTGAAATCATTCTTATTGAGTGTAAGTAGTGGCATTCTTTGCATATATTTTAAAAAAATTTATTTATTCATTTTTGTATTTTGACTTTTTACATGGCATATGCCTAGTGTATTTTTTCTAAAATAATTTTTTTTTATTTTCTGAATGTTCATTCATTCATTTAATTTTACATCACTTAGGTTAATTATTTTCTTTAAAGTAATCATTTTTTTATGTATTTTTGTTTCTTCTCTTATCTCACCCATTCATGATTTTTTTCTTTTTCATGCACATGATATTGCTGGTACAATCCCTTCCTCCTTTTCAAAACTCCAACAAAGATTAGGCAATGTGCACTGAAGAAAAACAATGCAACTAATCAAGGAAAGGAGTAATGGTTAAATTTTAGCTGCGGGGTTTTGAATCAACAACGCCTGCCAAAAGTCATCTCCAGAACACTGTTCACCACTCGGTCATGGATAGAGAGCAATTTGATGGTTGATAGAACTGAGGAAAGAAAAGATTGGACAAAATTCATATCAACCCATAAGCATCAATCATTACTTGCTACGTTGGTTAGCATAAAATTTCTGTTGAATGGTGCCACTTCCTGATGTGACATTTGTCCAATTTTTTCTTTCCCCTGTTCTAGTAAGGGTCTGCAGGCAGTTCTAGCAGCTGCAGGTTTTGGTGCTGCATTAAAAGTTGCACCTAGAAGGTGAGCACCCGGCTCAACACTGGCTTTTGACCCAAAATTTTCTCGGGAGATCTGGTAAAACTCCCACTTTGTCCCCTGGTTACTTTCCTTTGTATCCAACATTATTCCCGCTTCATCACCGTTCTCATCATTTTCATCTAACTCATCGGGCTTACCATCACCGCTTGCACCTGTCAGTCTTAACCTTTTCCTGGTCGTCAGGTAGGTAGTCCGGAGATTACTAAATTTTTTGGAACAATCGGGGCCACTAAATTTGTATCCGTACAGATCTTTCATCGTCTTTGCTATTTTTTCCCAAATTTTGGCCTTTCCACAACTTGGCCTGGCGAATTCAGCTTCTCTTTCAAAGCAAAGCTGTAGGAGGAGTTTCACCGGGGCACTTGTCCATTCTGACCTTGGTTCTGAGGCTGCAGTATCTGTAAATGTCAGGAAGAATAAAAAGACTTAGCCTTGATCATTTTGAGGAGAAAGGGTGATTAATATGAAGTTGAAGCTGAAAGGTGCTGTTTGGATGGATCTCCTTATTTTTAGCTACTCTACAGGAAGTAAGCATCAAAACTCAATTCTGTCACTAGCGCAACTGACCCATTTTGAACATTCATGATGGAAGTAAATTGAGATAAAATATTGAGGTACACTCACATCAGGGGTGCGGAAGACTTCAAGATAGGTGTCAAAGTGTCCATTGTCCCACTGAGTCTGGTGGAAAAGAACTAAGGCAGCGACGTTTTTGAGGGCAATAAGACTGGAAGCCATAAGTTAATCACTCTGTTGGAGATGACTACAGGTCACGAGGATTGCCAGAATCCAGAAGTTAAGCATAATTGAGCCTCTCTCCATACAGGATCAACAGGAACAGGAAACCTGAAGTTAGACTTGAACTTTGTACCTATTGCAACATTAACATTTTGATTATTACTCAGATAACAAAAAAGGAAGGAGTCATTGTCTCCGTTGACAATAAGTTTGCCTGTTACATCTGCGGGCCTATTATTGAAATTTTGTGTTTGTTGGACAGACATAGATTAAACGGCAAAGCATGATTGGTCGGCTATGTCTTGTCGCTGCTTTGTCGTGCCTTTGTCAGGTGGAATGTAAGACATACTTTCGGAAACTCAAGAGGTACCTTTAGTTTGTCGTGAATTCCACCTGACAAAGGCACAACTTAGCAGCAATAAGACATAGCCGACCAATCACACTTCGCCGTTTAGTCTGTGTCCGCCTGACAAATACAAAATTTCGATAATCGGCCCAGATGTTTGTTCAGACTGCTATAGCTAAAACATGAACAAGCCAATAAAATAGGTGATCTGACTTTTGGCAAACAAGGTCTGGATATATTTATTACTGAATTTGCTTCATTTACTTTGGTGAATTGGAGGCAACATTCCTCTAATAGGTGCGATCCATGAATTTGATCATCCAATTCACAGCAATAAAAAACTGCTCAGTAATACCTATCTAATTGACTGAGAATCGGTTAGTTACACTTCAGCAGGTTGGCATGGAACTTGGACTAATTTCCATGGACAAAATTATTTGTTTGCCTTGCCACTTGGGCTATAGTTCAGTGCATGGACCGTTCCCAAAAATAACCTTCGTCCCCTCCCCCTGATGCACATTCGGGAAAAGTGAGAAGGAATGGAGTCCCAGATGGGGACACACTTCAAAAAAACCCAGACAACTCAAAAAGAAACCTCCAAAAATCAAAGAGTTCCGAAAAATCAGCGGCTCGTATTCTGAACTGTCAAGGCAGTTCAGAATATGGACCGTGCCAATTGAGGTGCAGACGGGCCTCTCCTGCCAATGGCAGGCAGGTTGCTCGTCCGCTGACACCACCCGATATGACGCGTGGACGCGGAGCAGCTGTTCGAGAGCGGGAAATTCAAAATTGACAGCTTACCTCCGTGTACCGAGGCTTCTTGATTTCTCTCCTACACTGCCGGGTTATTGGGGTTGTACACCTTCACTAGTTCATTGAGAAGCGCCATAAATGGGTCCTTCTTCATTTCCCGCTGCTCGAATCGCCAAAGGTATTCGCACAAGTGATCCGCAAGATTTTCTGGTTTTACTCCTCCTCGTGCAAGGCAGCGCCTGAACGGCCTCCACTGGGACTCAATAGCGTTCGTATGGATTCCTGAGGGTGTCACAAAAGTATGTTTATGTTCCATTACCTCGTTGATATAGCAGTCATCCTTAAGGAACGCGTCTGCCGCCCAGCCGTCTGTATTCACTGTAGTTTCCTTTAACACATGTTTATTAAAGAATTTCCGGAAGGTTTTCTCGTCTCTCTTATTCCCAGGGCAAATTTCCAAACGAAAGTCTTTCATGTCCCGATCAAACCCCACACCCAACTTCCTTCTACCACTCGACCGCGATGATATGTCCTTCTTCCGAGCTTCATTTCGTCCGCTTCAATTACATGTCCGTCTCCTCCGATAGGGCCTTCATTCTCGTAATCGCGGTCGAGGGCTAAAGAGCACACTTGCGAGAATTGAAAAATTTGACTACAATACCAGACAGGAGAAATTAAACTTCCATACACCGCTGTCACAAACTACACAAACGACTTAACCTAAAATTGTTGTAAATAAACAAAGACAAACAAACAATAAACAATAGAGTTTTCTTTCCGTGTCGTCGGAGTGCGCTGGGCGCACTTGATCACCTTGAGTCTGAATTCTCATTGGTCTCGAGAGTGTCACTTTTAGCGCCATTTTTATGGCGCCAAATCTTTGATGATTTAAAATGACGGAATTTTTCATAATGCCCGCAAGACAGAGATTTAGCTAAAATAATAATTTTTAGACTAAAGTAAATCTTGAACAGAGAGTTAGGAGCATTGAGATAATTACTATAAAAACTTTCCTAAACTAATACTTTGAATTTGAATTCCAAGCAATAACAGTATTTATTATAATTAGGAAACAATTCAGCTGTGAGCAGATGATAAAAACCCGAGGGCTGAGGCATAGTATTTAAGAGCAGCTGAAAACTAATTCAAAGTTATACAAGCCAAGAATTCACAGCTTCGTTAAATTAATAGAAGTGAAATTTTCAGCACACGGACAGTTCTAGAATGTCGAAGGAAGTTTTTTATAGAGATGCTATACCTTGCAGGAGATTTTTTATCTGTAGGTATTTTTGCAAGTAATCATTCACGAAATTACGTGATGTTCATTAAAATCTGTTCTGTATGTCTGTGGGCTTCAAGTCCTAAAAAGTCTACATGAATGTAAAAATTCACTTTAAAATTAATTCTGACCATAATCAACGTATCAGAACGAATTGAGTGCAAATGTTGCGAGCATTGAAGAATGTATATAAAATAATAATAAAAAGTGCTTGGACAGCATTGATGTTTAGTATTATAAATTTGGAGCAGTGTTTCGTTTAAAGCCGAGCTTGTTAAAGTTCGCATCATAGCAATCAACTTGTGTCATCCGCAAAAAAATTAAAATGTATACGTAGGAATCAATGTAATTATTTTAAAATGGATATTTCATAAAACTTAAGGTAATTAAGGTTGAAATTTCAAAAATAGTGCAAATCTCACCTAAAGTTGGACAGATGTTTTATGGCATCTTGAATCAAGATAGTACCTCTGGAGTTTTATCACTGCTACCATGGTGACAAAAATGGGGAAAAAAACTCTGATATCAGCTAAATGGAAACCTAGGACTTTCTTTTTTTTTTTTTAGAAAAGTCCTATTCCATTATGAAAGTTGTACCTGATAATGCTCAATGCAAGTGCGAAACAATAATTTGATAGTTTAACAAATGCCGTGAATAAAACCAAACTTCAAGAGGTAAATAGGTACCGCGTGTTATGTTGAGAGGGAATTTTTCATAGTGCCCATGATTGAATCGCAAAACTTAAGAATTGCAAAATTCCTTATGGATTTTTTTCTTAATAATATCATCAGATGGGTAGATAAGAAATGCGTTTGAAGGTTTTTCCCTGTGGTCAGGTACTCAGTAATTTTGGCGAGGGAAAGAAAACGAAAGAAATAATAAAAAATTTACATTTTATTACAAACAAATGAAATAAATTATTAATAACATACATTATTTATATGCGTACAATATTGAATATTTATGTAACATGCTTAGTATTATACAGGGTCAAATTAGACCAAATTCGATACTGTGAAAAAAGAAATGAGAGACAATTTAACAAATTTAAATCACCAGAGTATTGCTGTTGACTTTATGATTTTATGGAGAAAATTAATTGAGAGAAAACCAAAAGGACCAAGAATTGGATATGAATGCTAGAAGAAGAATAGATTATTAGTTTTCCTATACAAAACAATACCTACGAATCACCAAAATGTTATTTATATCAAAAGTTTGAGATCACATGCAAGGACTTTCTTTCATTTTGCTATCATCATCATTTCAATTAAATAATTTGAACGAAAGATAAGAAATTAATCCCGAAATTGTAAGTATCAAGTTCAATTTAGAAAAATGTGAAAAACTATGAGAAGAGAGGGAAAAATGAGAGATTAATGTTTATCTTAACTCGGAGAAGAAGCCAATAATGCTCACAAGATGAGTCCCCATCGTTATTAAAGAATAAGTACACATCTTGCAAAAGTAAAGAGTATTATTTCAGCAACTTTATTTTCAGAGTGTTTGTGATATTAATCCAAAAATACCTTCGGAAAATCCAGAGGTAAAACAGAATTATAAATATCTTGCTGCACTATTATGAACTTTACTCACTTTTATGTATTTTGTTTGTCAAGGTTTTTAAACTTGTTAAAAATTTAACGTAATTTTAAGAATGTAGGAATGTAAGTTACTTATAAATAGGGCAAATACCATAACCTGGGTACATCTCGCTTTGCCAGAGCTAATCGCTGTGTGCCCGGGCAGATCACAGTGTCCATGAAATGGGCCGATCCTAAGATAAACGTAGACTCCAGGATTTGCCCGAGCATACTGCGATGTGACCAAATCATGTGGGTAAATCTTGTAGCAACTACTATTTTCCCGAATTTACCCAAAAGATCAGCACGGGCGCATCGCGATGTGCTCAGGTTTTGGCATTTTTCCTACAAAAAAAGGCATTAAAAAATGCTGAATCATGCTCCCTTACAATGACTCATTATTCAGGATCCAGAAATCTTAATTTTTGTAGGTCACTGATGTAGAAAAATATACGGTTTGAAGCAAACTATGCAAAACTATTTCTTTTAGAAGAAAAAAGATAATTAGATATCTTGGATCTCTCATTTCCTTTACCCACTGGATTGCAGTAAGTATCGAGGTACAACACCCCTGAAGAAAAAAAAACCGATTTAATTTGACAACATTAAATTATTTAAAGTATTGACTACTTTTGTGTGTGCTGAACAAAAATTGACTCCTAGATAGATTTGAAATGAAAAATTGAAACGATGAGGATAAAGCCATTAGAAACCCTCCCACTTGGGTTAAAAATTTTGACTTCATCATTTAAAATAACAAAATATAACAGGAAAATTAATCACTTCAATAAATGAATAAAATAATTAATAAGGAATAATAATAAAACTAATAAAAACATCATGATATGGTAAAGAAAATTTTAAAAAAAGGTCATGATGAAGTCAACACACAAAATTTATTCACAAATACAAATCTACAACTTACACTTACAGCTAAGCTTTAACAACGTTCAACAATTACTGAAAGAAAATTTAATTACAATATTCAAATTAGAAAATAGTTCAAAATATTAGAATTCTGTTATAAACGATAAAAAAATATTTAAATTTGTACATAAAACAACTAGTTGATATCAATTATTTACCATAAACGTGAAATCAGTCATTCTTAATCTCTACTATCAAGCTGGTGTCTCCAGAGTACGTATTTGGCACGGTAACAATAGAATGAATCGTGAGAAACTTACTTTATGATAAGAGATACTGTAAGTTTAGGTCGGTTTTACTATTATTCCTCGTCGTAATACATGTTGAGTAACACTGAAATCAGGTGATTCAGAAACACAAACTGGACTGCAAGTGCAATTTATAACCCTCAAGTGACATAATTACTTTTTAAAGCTTGATCGAAGACATTGAAACCACCATAAAAACAGAATTTGTAGAAGTTTATTCAGAGATAAAGAGCCAACGGGTGCCTTCACACACTGCGTAACCTAAAGAGGAAAATATGAAGTCCAAGTTGGAATCACGACATGTGAAGGAATGAGGGACTAACAGCCATCAGTACAAAACAGTTCAAATTGAAAATTTTCTAATTTCTTGATTTACAATTTTAATTTATTTATTTGTTTACGTCTTATACAAACAAAATAAGATCTTAAAACAAAGAGAGATCTTAAACAAGACACTTTAACAAGATTTGGAAAGAGTCCCACAAGATTTCGTGATTTTCAATTTTTAATATTGAAAAGAGGGGCCTGAAACTGACTGAAAAATATGTAAAATGATTGTCGAGTAATCAGCATAAATCTCTTACATGCTTACTCATAGTAGGTGTATATAACATGGCTGGGTACCTTTTTTACATGATTATAATTGATTTATTGTGCTGATGTTTCAATCAATATACCATAAAGTACCTACAGACTGAAGCTGCTAATCCTTTCCTCACCGTTTCCCACCTACCAAGAAATCATAACCCCGAAGCAACTATCACGCAAATAAACACAAAGATAAATTGAGTGGGCTTGTGAAAAAGGTTTTCTTTTCCAACTTAATTTGAATCAAATTTTCAGGAACTTTCTCTTTGATATGCTTCCTCTCTATTTTCATTGTTCCTACACTTTTTTGGTTCTCCTTTTTCCAAAATAAAATGTTTCGTTTGTAGATACAAACTGCAAACATTAAGCTACTATCAAGGGTTAGATGTTTTTCACATATTATTTTATACACTGCATGCACATCATAATAGTTCAGTGCCAATCGCAAAGAGTAAAACTACACAGATCTCTACAACGGGGTGGATAGTCCTCTTGTGAAAATGGGTATCGCTTGTTGGTAATTGTTTCATTCTTTTTCAAAGCCAAAATAACATTGCTTTAAAGGGGTTTTATTACAGACTATTTCATAGTCAATGGTCAGGGAAAATCCAATTAGTGCATTTTTATCATAGTAGATTTTCAGAATACAAAAAAGTATTATGCGAAATAACAGAATTTGATGGGCCTATATCGATTGCTAAAGTGCGAAATCACGTGGCACCGTTACGGTGTTTCAAAATTTCCGCACCCATTTTAGTATTTCGGTGAGGAACAAGCTACCTTTATACTTTGAAATCCACACAGAATGTTTCGTCGTAAATTGGAGGTAAAAATAGTAGCATGGTAGTTCCTGTCCACTTAATAGCCAACATGGCAATACAAACGAATCAAAGTCCCCTCCTTAACTTCCCTTTTTCAAAGGATGAAATTGGCTCAGCTACTTCAGCACAGTATCCAAAAAGTAGTATAGGTATTAAACAATGGAAATATCTTTAGTTACATTCAACAAGGTAGGTAAGAACAGAGCAGCTTTAGTGGTCTTTTTAGAAATCGAAATGATGGCGCCGTTAGCCTCTCTGAAGAATTAAGTCGCCTTCAATTTACAAATAAGCAAAATGAGGTCCTAAGAGCAGCAATGGTGGTATTTAAATAACTAACTGTAGTGGTGGTGCCGTTATACCATCTGTGCAAGCCTGTGCCCTCGCGAACGGGACATGGGTGGGAATTGGTGATTTTTAAATATTTGACTGCGCCAATATTACACTCTCCGCAGGCTGTGTCGTGTCGGAAACATTTCTAGAAACGGGAAGCTATTGAGAAAAATTGAAATAGAAAACTATTGCCTTTATTCTTGTGGTATTTAGGTGACTAATTGTGCTAATGTAGCTATTATCCTCCATGCGCAAGGTAGATTAGCCTTCATTGGACAAGATAGGCAATACGAGCACCCACAGACAGGAATGCGTCTGATGTAAACTTTTTCTAGAGCAGAGAAGATAATTGATCCTTACAGAGATGACTTAAAAATCACAATGAGTGCATCGGGAAAGTCTGGAATTCACCCTCCACTATACAATCTGCGTAAGAGATTGCCCGCTTTTTATAGCTTCCCACTTCAAAAAGTATACAATGGCGAAGATGTAATCTGATACAAACGGGACGAGCCGGTCTCGGCATTTCAGGCAAAACTGAGAATGAATATCGATTTTTGACGTAGTTTCTTAGATGGACTGCATTTTGCAATTAGGAACTATAAATTCCGGCCCGGTTTAAAAACAACGTACGTGCCGTTAGTTTCCCTATGCTTATGAGTGTTTTTTCAGATGAGCCAGAATTTATAGCTCCTAATTGCAAAACGCGGTCCAGATAAAAATAAAGAACAAAAGTACTACTACTTAATAAACGATACTTAAAACGCAGAAAAGTGAAGATGTCGAATGTACGGCGTTTGAATTGTTACGTCGTTTCATCGCCCTCTTGACATAAGGGTGCAACTACACTCGACGATGAGCCCCGTTATCCATGTAACTCAACACTTTCCCGGGCTCATCTCAAATTGTAGTTACGCCCTTCTGTCAACCAAGCGACGGTTTGTTCGCATGGAGTTGTGAAGATGAGGTGACTCATCACTGTATCACATGTTATTTTCTCCGTCGTATATCTCTTGAAGTGAGAAGCTGCGAAAGAGCGCTAATTTTCCAGATTTTCCGGATATGCTCATCGTGATTTTTCAACCATTTTCCCGAGCGAAAATTCTTCTCTGGATCCAGCAAAACTTTGCAACAATCCCATTAAAGTATCTAAAAACGTAGATGGCAATGTTACCCTGTTGAGAGGGTGGGTCCATGCCCAAAAGGGCTCGGCCCTAAACTAAAATTGAAAAAACCTATTGCCTGGACTGAGACTACTGTCCTTTCTCCTTGAGGCCGTGCAGGAGGTGCTCGGGCGGCATGAGCGTGCTGGGCTGGTGGTGGGCGTAGTTGCGGATTTGATGGAGGGAGATCAGTTGGTTGGGAAAGCTGTTGGTGACGGAGACCGAGACGGGGTTCTTTGGCATTTCCATGGGCATGGAGGTCTGGACGGCGGCGCCGAGGCCGGAGAGCTGCCCGCCGACGCCCGAGCCCACGACCTTGGCCCCGGGGAAGGATATCGTGTTGTACGGGATGTAAGCTCTGTCTGAGATCTGGTGGTGGTTCAGGTGGTGGTTGTGGTGGCTCGGGATCGTCATCGACTGGATCGGGGTGAAGGCCGACGTGGACGATGCCGTGCTCGTCATCTTGGAGGAGTTGATCACAGATTCGTAGTGGTGCGGCGACGGGGCGCCCGGCGTCGAGCCACGTATCGAGTGCTCGTCGGCGCCCCCGTTCAGGTCCCGCATGTCCCGCATATCCCGCATGTCCCGCATGTCCCGCATATCCCGCATATCCCTCATGTCCCGCATGTCCCTCATGTCCCGCATGTCCCGCATGTCTCGCATGTCCCGCATGTCGCGCATGTCCCGCATATCCCGCATGTCGCGGAGGTCGCCGCGGAGGTGGTCCGGCGGCCCGAGGGGCGGGCCTTGCTGGAGGCAGACCTCGTGCTGGTTGATGGCCTCGACGAGGTTGTTAGCCGTGTCCGGCGAGACCTTGGGCCAGTAGTGGGTTTGGTCGAGTCCGACCCGCGGGATCCCGATGATGGGCGGTCGCTTGTCCAGCCGCTCGGCGTGCTTCTGCATGTGCTTCGTCAGGTACGTCTCCTGGGTGTAGGACTTGCCGCAGTACTGGCAGATGTGCGTCTTGAGGTGCTTCGACTCCTTGTGCTTGGGGATGTGCTCCAGGAGCGACTGCTCGTCGGTGAAGCACTTGTAGCAGGAGTTGCATTTGTAGGGTTTGTCCGTTTGGTGGCAGCGGGAGTGCGACTGGAGGTTGCTCAGCTGGGAGAAGGCCTTGTTGCACCCGATGTGCCTACATTTGTACGGTTTGTCGCCTGTGTGCGTTCGGATGTGCTGCTGCAGGTGGGAGAGCTGCGTGAACTTTCGCTGGCAGATCTCGCAGCGGTAGGGTTTGATCCCCAAGTGGATCCGCGTGTGTTGACTAAGGTACGAGCTGTTGGCGAATGTCTTGCTACACTGCGTGCATTTGTACGGTTTCACCTCTCTCATGTGCATCTGAGAGTGTAGTTGCAGCTCAGATTTGGATCCGAAAATCTGTGAACAAAAAAAAAAAAACCGACCGTTTAAGATTTTCATAGCAAAATCAATTTAAAACAGCAAAGTACACGGGGAAAAGATGCAGGGGTTAAGTCTCAACTTGGACGTTTCCAATGAACTGTGGTGGTAATCCAATTAATTGTGGCGGTCCCCAAATAAATTAGGTTACTAACCCAAATGTTGCGGTGCTACCCCAAGTTCAGTTGCTGTACTGACCCAATCTGAGTTGCTGTACCACCAAAATTAATTGGGAATGCCCATATCATCCGACAATTAGGGGTGGTACTACAATTTTTGGGGGTAACGCCTATATCACTTTTTTCCGTGCAGAAAAACGGATAGGAAGGGTAGGTAAGTACAGATGTTCTCCCCAAAAAATTATTTTTTTCGCACTTTCACGCCTCTCCTCTTCTCTGGATATTGGGGAGGGGGGTGGTGGTGGTGGTGGAAGGATAGATCTGTCCTCGTAGCACGATTGCTGAAATTTTTTACTCATTTACATCACAGATTCAGCACGTTTGCGCGTAAAAAAGACTATCTAATGGAGATTTCTATTAGATATTGAGTTTCTTTGTTCCAATCTGTCCAGTTATAATAATGAAATGCGACATGAAGCATGGTCTTACCTCTGGATTCCCGTGGTCTACCCCAGTCCATCCGAGACCGTCTCTGCCTTTGTTTATGCCTCTTCTCCGCCCTCGGCCCTGTAACAGCAGAAACAATCAACTTATTTAGAGACACAAGCTATGAGTGAACACATGGAAATATACAGTGAAAGTTACTGCAAAGAAAAGTTATGAGAAATAACCGGTATCAAAGTGTTATCAAATCCTAAAAATCATTCAAATTGGAGCTGAACATAGAATAAATTGCAGAATATGCATCATAAAATTAAAATCTACGGAGAAAAAAATTGTGAAAATGGTTGAATTTATTTTATTTCATTTAATTGCGAAATTATTTGAAAACTTTCGTTGCACTACTCTATGGTAAATAGGGGCGCGGAGGCGGAAAAGATGTTCTCCCGTGAGGGTTAAAAGGAGGTAAAGATTGGACGGAGAAGAAGACAAACCTCGTGTGTTTGTACATGTTAACTAACGGCGACGATGTTTTTATGTGCTTCTCTAGTTTTTTACCCATGCGTTTGAGTCTCCGGACATTTGGACGTATTTATATGCTAAAAATAACTATGTCGCACGCAGTAGAGTGGCGTGCTTTACGATACATCGATTGATCTGCCATTTAAACCTATGGTAAAGGATCGATTAACAGGGTGTTCGCAGCGAACACCTTAATGGTCGATTCTTTATCACAGCTTTAAATAGGGAAACATCGATAATCGATCATTCACGCCCCGCCACCGGTCGCACGCAAAACCTATGCACACAGTTCTTACTTTTATACCCATGCGTTTAAGTCTCCGGACATTTGGACGTATTTATGCTAAAAAGAACTATGTCGCACGCAAAACCTATGCACATAGTTCATTTTAGCATAAATACGTCCATATACACGTTAAAACAAGCGGTAGTGCTGAAATAGTATAATGTCTCATGGTTCTTCATGAAAATTTAACGAATAACTGCAGAAATGGAAAAAACGCCCCGCTAGAAATGCACTTATGCATCATTCACACTTTGAAGAAGAACCGTTTTGATCAAGAGTGTCATTTGCTCATTTGAGCCGATTTCACACATCGCCGATGAACTCATCTTCAACCTAGGAGCTCAAAAATTTAAAAGACAAACTTGGCAATGTCGAATTCACCTGAACCAGATTCTTTTTCTTGAGCTGTTGACGCGCTGTCAAGGCCACCGCTGAGCCTGGCCCTAAGAAGGTGTAAAAGTTGTGATGTAGAAAACATACGCGTTGAAAAAATGTCAGCGTAGTAAATAGCGTTATGTCAAGGCTCCGTTACTAATTAAATAATTTTTTTCGGCGGTAAACTCGCGCTCTTTCGGCTAAATTTGGATGCGAGTAGCTGGAGGACTCGCTTTTCAACGGAACCGTTTACTTTACGATCTATACAAGAGTCACTCCCTCCATTTAAATCCATTATAAATAATCGATTCTAGGTAAGGCGGCATACTTTGATGAATGTCGATGGATTTACTTACATTTTAATTTGAAAGAAGAAAAAAAACAATGTAAGTGCGGCAGAGTACACGTTAAAGCAGATTTTTTTTCGGCTGTCGCGCGGTTTTGATAGTACAGGAACTTATTCCATATCAAAAGCCCCGAGGGTGATATTTGTTAGCCGGCAACACTGTTTTAGTTTAAATTCATTATAAATAATGTATTCTTAGTAAAGCAACTTTAGACAAGAAAGGCGAAGAGAAAATGGAGAAATCCTATCGGTTGAAACGGACAGTTGTTATAGACTAAAGATGAGGAGTGAAGGACGAGGTCTCTCGTGGGTTGCCGTTAATAGGTTGCTTATACATATACCTTCTTTGTCCATTACAACCATCCGCTTCCACCAAAAAGATCACTCTAATTTCCCACTGTCTTCTTTGTCTATCAATTTCAATGATTAACTCGCTGCCTCGATAAATATCGATTGTTTTCTACCGATTTAAGAAGCCACTACGCGGTGTTACTAACTTGCAGAATAATGTCGCTACTATCAGAAATATCCGAGTGGAATACTGACTGAGCAACAATTCGAACGCCTACGTCGTGAAATTGCCTACTCGCAAATTTGAAGGCATTTTGTACGGTACGGCTCGCTTGCACGCTAACGTTGTGAAGAGTAGGGCGTAAATAATGGATAATTATTCTGAGGAAAATTGCAACCAAGTCATCAATGCATTTCTGGTAAAATTTTGCCTTCAACCATACCTTTGAAGAAAATAACAGATTTTTCCTTCCAATCGCAATTCCGTCATGAAAATTGAATTTTTACGTCAGTAAAAGTAATTATCTTTCTCTTTTAAAACATCGTACACTGTGCACTATTAGAGGAGCTCCACTCTCGATAAAGAATTAGGCACACCGAGGAAAATTAAGTTTTATGCTGGTAAAGAGTTGTGCAAACCCTGGAGGTTCACCCATTTCAAAGAATGTTGCAAAGTAAGTGCGGATTCGCCCAACCGGAATCAATTAATACGAATCTTGCATTTCCTCATTTCATTGACCTTTATTCTTTAAAGCGCTGCAGATTTGGAAAGGTTTAATATTATTTAAGCGCGGCAAAAGTTTGCGACGGAATATGAAACTGAACGACTACAAGCCAATATTTATTTAGCCCCAAAATCACCATTTGCGTAACGTAAGTCGATTATAGACCGAAACAGGGCAGAGCTAAAAAGTACCAATCCAAGTGTAAGAGCTCATTAAGGAGGCAAATAAAATCTCGAATGCGATAAAACAAAAAAGCAGAACGTATCTCTTTCACTTTCAGTGACGTCGCACGCGATTTGGTATCGCGGTCGAAAAATAAAGAGTTAAATTCGTCTGGCTCTGGAGTGTCTTCAAAACGAGAGTATACGCCGTATCCTAGACCAAAAATCTCATTTCATTTTTGAAAAATGTTCCTTTCGCAATTTTTTGCGCACCTACTGCCTCCTTGTAACTCTCATTTTTTTACGAAAACAATTTTTTTTTGTGCTAATTGAAATAGTCAACTCATTTAAATTAAGTAGATTAAGTAGTCGAATTTTAGAGGAAACTAGATTCCGAAATTCGGGAATAACTGCTCTCTTCGATAACACGACGGAGGCGTGATTGATGCGCCTTCATGTTAGTCGGGTAGGCAAAAAACCCTTCTAGGAGTTAAAAAAGTTGCGTGTTGCGTCAATTTGTCTGATCTGCAGACACGAAGGGTAGGTCTAATTATAAGTGAAAGACTATTGACAACCGATCGGTTAGAAGCTTTACTCATTGAATCCGTCGCTAGTGGTGAGTGTAACAAGTTGACAATGCTGTTATCCTCCGAATAAAAAAAAAAACACACATGATAAATGGAATGTTCAATTCAGGGTGGGGTAGATTTTTTTTTCCTAAGAAATTTTTAAAATACAAACCCAAAGAAAATTTTTAATTGCAAAATAAGGATAGAAAAACATATCTTATCATAATACCCTTATAAACCAAAGTGATTATTAGATTCAAATCTGTGAAGAAAAATTAAAAAGAATTGCTGTTAAAAACACAACTAAAAATGAGAAAATAAAATGAAAAGATAAAAACCGATTTAGTGTAGCATTAGCAACAGAGAATCTACCTCAAATCCGGTGAACAATTGTTTCACTTCATACAAGAATAGATGAGATCAAGTTAGTGGTAAATATAGCTCCTCAAAATACATTTCGACGGCGAAACTGCCGGACCATTAAATTTTTTAATTAGGAAACTATTCAAAATCAATTCTAGTTAACTTGATTGATTTTCCTTCTCTAAACGAAGAAAACTCTGAAAACTTCAAGAAATGATCTTGATTTTTTCTCCTTAAAAAAAAAATAAAACGGTTGCGGAGATTTTTAAACATCGCAAGCAAGATACGTGGTTTGGGAGTTTCATTGCACTGGGGAAAAAAAAAAAAAAAAAAAAAAAAAAAAAAAAAAACATTTGATCTAGAGTCCGGACTGTCGTCCGGATTTTCGCTTGAATCAAGAACTAAGCCTCTTAATTTGAGCGGATTTCCTTTTGATTTAAGCAAAAATCTGATTGAATCAAGAGTATTTTTTCTTGTCAATGTTTTCAAGAGTCTGGACTCTAGATCCAATGTGTTTTTTTTCCAGTGTTGTCAATTTGTTCTCAGGGTAACAAATAATTTATAAAAGAAACAGACGAAAAGAATCGATCGTTTCGCGTGCGTTCAAATTGGCAAGGCCCAATGCTGCCAACTTGGGAGCGTCGCCACGGAAATACGTTCCAGGAATAAGACGGTTCTGAGAAACTCCGTCTGGAGGAGGAAGGATGAATCGGGTTAGGTGAGAAAAAAATTCGCGTAAGGCAATAAGCAGCGACGCGAAGGTGCCCCCGGATGAGAAACTGTTCCAAAAATGCGGTTAGCCGGCAAAGTCGCACCGGACAGGATCATCTCATCCAGTCATCCTCCAACGCCAACGACCAATGTTGCCGGTGGCGTGGCGTGCTTTGCGACGCATCGATCGCTCCACCGTTTAAACCAACGGTAAAGGATCGATAAACAGAGTTCGCAACGAACACCTTAACAATCGATTCTTTACCACAGCTTCAAATGGGGGAACATCGATAATCGACCGTTCACGCCTCGCTGAATGCTGCCAAAGCTCCGGCGAGTTGCGCGGCGCTAAGCCGCGATTAGCGCAAACCGCATATAGACATAGGGTTTTCATTCGAGCTTGAGCGGTTTTATGTCAAGCAGGGCGGTATGCGCTAACGATAATTCAGTCGGTTTTGCTCGCGGTTTATTTCACCGGAAGACGCATCCACTACTTACTGCATTCGAAACATGTGTTCTTGCATCGCGAATTTAGTGTGCGTGTTGCCCCGATGAGGCGAAAAAATGCATTCTTTGCAGCCTGCTTATCTCCGATGGAGATAGGATGTAGGGCAAATATAGATTATTACAGTACATTTTCGACACATACATTTTTAACGAATAAAAAAAATTCAAGAGTGTGTAACCGCTTTTATCATAGCTCATTTAAAATTGGAATTCAATTGAAAGTTGGCATCACTGCTTTTCTTCCATTCAAATGTATGTAAAACAATCGAT